AAAAGAGAGTGAAAGAAAGAAAAAAGAAAGAAAGCTGTTTTATTCTAATACACATGAGGTCACCAACAGTCAAAACTATTTTGACAGCAACTAGTAATTCAACGTAAGATCTGACTTCCCAGCCAGCCTTCAATAGACACTTATTTGAATCTTCTCTGCAACCCTAAACTCCAACTTTTCCAGCAGAGACTATCCCCACTCCAACATTCCACTAAGAAGAAGTCCAATCTTCCTGGGTTCTGCCATTCCCCTAGAGTATTTGCTCTCTTCTGATCCAATCCACACAATCTCTTTCCCTCCTTCTATATCCTAGAATCAAGCTGCCAGGAATTCCCAGCAAGTGATCAGAAAACTTCTCCATATCCTTCTCATTCCCTCCCTCACCTGAGCGTCTTTAGCCCCTGCTGTCCTCTCAAGTTGTTATTGTTGTTGTTATTGTTGTTGTTGTTGTGTACCACTGAGTTGGAGCCTGCGTATAGCTGACCCTCACAGAGGAGGAGACTGTCCATCTTTCTCCAGCACAGCAGCTGGTGAACTCCAGCAGTGTGCCTTCATGATTGCAGAACAGCTTCTTGCCACTAGGCCACCATGTCATCCCTCAAGTAGATGCTCTTTATTCTCTCAGCCCGCAAACCACAACATAAGCCTTCTTCCTTTCCCATTTCACCCTGTAGACTATGATTCCTCTGGATCTTCTGAGGCTTAGACCACCTGGCAAAACTGTCCTTTCCACCACCTTGGTGACTGACAATCGTCAATCCTGTTAACTAACTCTCATTCCTGAAGACTTAAGCCACTGGTTCTGACTATTCTTTTCCATCTAATTCCTGCTCCCATTCTCAGTGACTTCATATTAGGATGCAATTCCTCAGCTTCAGATGTCCAGAGATATTTACCCCCTCTCCAGACACCTTGCCCCCATGAATACATACATCCTGGGTCCTGTTCATGCCAGAAACCATTCAACCCTCAAATTCACACATTCATTCAAGAGAGCAAGGTCACTTGCTCAGATACTCTCTGGAGCACTTCTCCTATTTCACATAACCACTAGCTTATAAATATCAAACAAAACGTGGGGAAATCCCTATACAAACAGTAGTTGTTACATGGCATTGAGTTGGAACCAACCCATAACTAACGCTCCAGGAGATTTTCAGAGTCAGTATGCTCAACATCAAGCAAGCAAACATTCTCACCACTGAGCCAGTCAAGAGCACCATGATAGATGGAGCAGAGATGGAGTTTGTTAAGAATTTCCACTTGCTCAGATCCACAATAAACCTCTTGGCACCAGCAGTCTTGAAAGCAAAAGACAAATTGTACTGGGGAAATCTGTTGTCAGAGATCTCTCCCGAGTGCTAAAGAGCAATCATGTCAGTCTAAAGACTGAGGTGCACCTGATCCAGGCCATGATCTTCTCAATTACTTGCTATTTGTCAGAGATCTGGACAATGACTAGGGAGAACAGATGAAGAATTGATACCTTTGAGTTGTGGTACTGGAAAAGAGTATTCAACATACCATGGACTGTCAAGAGAACAAACAGGTCTGTCCTGGAAAAGGTGAATCCAGGTTGCTTACTGGAGGCACTGATTTTGAAGCTCCGTCAGTCATACTTTGGGTATGTGGCCAGGAGGAACCAGTCCTTGGAGAAGGACATCAAGCTTGGAAGGGTGGAGGGACATCTCAAGGGAGGAAGACCCAGAATAAAATGGATTGACACAGTGACTGCTGTAATGGGGACAGGTGTGTCAGATACAGTGAAATTGACTCAATATAAAGCAAGGTTCAGAGCTAATGTGTCACTATGAGTCACAATCAACTCAACACCACATAACAACAGCAAATCATACAGGAGATTGCCCATCTATCTCCCGCAAAGCAGGATGGATTTGAACTGCAGGTCTTTGATTTGGCAGCGCAATTCCTTACCAACTAGACCACCAGGGCTCCCTGTAAAGAATATCTGCATACTGACACATAAGAACCAACTCATAGCTGACTCTCCAGCAGGTTTTCTGAGGCAGTAAATCACATGGTAGGGAACTACCCAGCCTTCCCCTGAAAAGCAGTGGATTCTCACCACATGCCTTTGGGTTGGCAGCACAACTCTTTGTCACTAGGCCACCAGAGCTCCCATAATCTGTTGTTGTTGTTGTTGTTGTTGTTGTTGTCGTTGTTGTTGTTATTGGGTGCCGT